TTATGTACTATTGACAAACTCATTTCATTTTTCATTGTTCCTATTTAAAAGTCGCTCTGACGTTACGAAACAAAAGCAAACCGCTGTCTATCACACGTCTTTTCATCACCGCGACTGTATGTTAAAGATGAGGTTTACCATCTCAATAATTTGTAATATAAGCACGTTTATATATCGTTTTTGTGAAAATTTTCGTATCTGGTATGAACAGATCATAGTTTTCATAAATTCATGATTATCAGAGATGAGCGAAACCTTTTGCGGTACCATGTTTTTTCAAATTTACAGGATAAGTTGGTCCCGCGAAAGACCTCCCTCATCTCATCGTGATCAGATCTCAACCCTACCGGACTGGGTAGCGGTCAAAAAAGCCGCTCATTTCTAATGAGTTCTCATGTCAGACCAATGTTGAGAGTTTTATCGTGAATAAATGGTATTGACACAAAGAAAAATCATTGCTGGGCCTGTCTCAGAAATCAACAATTGGCAGGGCTCATGACTAAGAGCTCTTAAACGTTTAATTTCATGTTTTCTGTCATGATTATTTTGAATAGTTAATATTTCTTGCATATTTACATGTAATTCAACTCTTGTTTGTTGACAATATTGAAAATAGAGTTTTGTTAATTGCATTTTTTTGTAAATGCTATCGTCAAGATAAAAGGGACGTTGGTGATGGATAACTTGAATATCACAATGATTTTCGTGTTTAAATTTCTTGATTACAACACCAGTCGATAATATTGGTCATTTTGGATAATACACTATATTTCATGTTGTCTATTATTGAAAGTAAACGTAAAAAGCAAATTTCTTTTCCACAAACAGTCACTGATACAGTACCACCAAGAAAAAGTTATTTGTGAATCGAAATGCACGCGATTGCACGATTTAGAAAATCGTTATAAACAGCAAACATTAACACTGGAAGAATATCTTGAGAAAGTGATGCGATTAATTGGTATCAAAATATTTTGATTTTGATTTATTTTATCTGTTGTTTCTTTCTCTAATAATGTATTCCCAGCTAATAAAAGACCATTTTTATCCATAGAAAGTGCTGTATAACATCCTATGAATAAAATTTCTTTCTTTTAACAAAAAAGAAACCTTAATAAAAAAAATTCTTCTTTTTTTACTTTCTTTTGTTATTTGAACATTAACAGATTTTGACTGCTGATGTATTGATGAAGATTGTTTATTATGTAATATAATAAGTTTCGGTGGTTCGTGTGTTACATGTATAGAATATCAAGATATACTCTATTTATCTGCAGTACACCGAACAGCTCAATAAATGTTTTAAAAACTAACAGAAAATACTTTAGTTTTTGGAAAGGTTTCCCCAAAAACTTTTATTGTTTTTTGAGTTATTTGAAAAGCAACCGAGTACCTTATATTTCGGTGCCGATAAAAGTACATCATTATTGACATTAAAGGATGAGTACGGGCACAATATATGAAAATGCAAAACATGTAGGATCCGTAAACATAAATCTTAAGTTGTTTGTCGCCTAATCTTGGAATATATAAATACTAAGCGACTGACGTCTCTTCAATAGATGATATATCACTGGATATTAGAATAAAGAGAGTGTTAGAAAAGATCAGTAGCAGGACGTGAATGAACGATTGTTTATATCGAACTGATGATAAGCGTTTTTGACATGGAAGGCAACATACAGCAACGGCTATCAACGAAAACTAAACACACATTCGATTTTTCTTCCTTTCACAATCTTCACAAGTATGAGCTGTGCACAAATATTAGAGCTCTAGCAGTTAAAAAGAATGAGGTTGATTCTCATTCATTCTATTCTCTTTCTTATTCTTTTTCTCTATCTATGACACATTTTCGCGTTACAAACAAAAGAAATGAAAAATTTTCTTTCGCTTTCTGTGTACATAAACAAAATGGCGGCATGTAACGAAAAGAAACACTAACACAAACAGTAGCTATATTTTCCAAAGCCAAACAGACCTTCGAGATTATTTTGAGTTCGTGAATATCGATCGTATCATCTCTTCAAGTTTATTACACTAGAAGAAAAAATAAACAAAAGAAAATAATCAGAATGCGAAAGAAAATTTTTCATTTCTTTTGTTTGTAACGCGAAAATGAGTCATAGATAGAGAAAAAGAATGAGAAAGAGAATAGAATAGAGTTTTCTCTTTTAGCGTATCTTTATCGTTTTCTTGATGTCGCATCCAGATCAGCCTTTCTTTTTGTATGTATCCTCATGTCTGACATACAGAGATCTGCATGCGACATCAAGAAAAAGATAAAGATACGCTAAAAGAGAAAACTCTAATGAATAGAGTTTTCTCTTTTAGCGACATCAAGAAAAAGATCAGGATACGCTAAAAGAGAAAACTCTAATGAGAATCAATCTTATTCTTTTTAACTGCTAGAGCTCTAATATTTGTGCACAGCTCATACTTGTCAAGATTGCGAAAGGAAGAAAAATCGAATGTGTGTTTAGTTTTCGTAAACCGATTTTTGTCTTATCTAACTTGTGAATCAGTGTCGTTACTCCACGTGTCAACACAACGAGAAGCCAGGAACAGCTTCACTTTCATGTAAACGAATTTTTGTGGAATTTCCAATAGCTAAGGAAATAAAATTTCTTTCGCTTCATATACTGAGGAATATCTCGACGCGTACATTTGCTAGATAAGGAGTACACAAGCTAACGCCATACCATAACATTTTTTCATGGCGATAGACACCGTGTACTGCTTCAAAAATTTTCATTTCCTTAGTGAGATGTTGCACAAAAATCGGTTTACTTGAAAGTGTAGCTGATCCTGGCTGCTTGTTGTGTTGACACGTGGAGTAACGACACTGATTCACAAGTTAGATATGCCTAATGCAGGGCTTCCTTTTTTACCCAGATTGGGCATTGATTTACAGTTAAGGCGCCTAATGAAGGGCTTTTTGTTGTTAACCCAAAGTGGGTTATTGATTATTTTCTTTTGTTTATTTTTTCTTCTAGTGTAATAAACTTGAAGAGATGATACGATATTCACGAACTCAAAATAATCTCGAAGGTCTGTTTGGCTTTGGAAAATATAGCTACTGTTTGTGTTCGTGTTTCTTTTCGTTACATGCCGCCATTTTATTTATCTACACAGAAAGCGAAAGAAAATTTTTCATTTCTTTTGTTTGTAACGCGAAAATGTGTCATAGATAGAGAAAAAGAATGAGAAAGAGAATAGAATACACGTAGGGAAAGTTAGCAGCGGATTCGAGTAATCCCTGCTGATATTCGCTCCACGACCTGGGTACCTTTCTAATAACTTGGGTTAGATGTAGAATTAAATTCTGCATCGAATAGTTATATTTTTAATGGGGGTCATCGGCCATAAAATGGGGGTTTGGGCTTAAATACTTGAGTTTCATAAGTATCCTTCTTTGGAATTTGTGTTCGTTCCGCCAGTCGACCCCATATGCCGTCTGATTTTGTATAACCATTACTCCCTTCCACATCCAATTCGCGATAATCCGATCCTAGTTGTTTGACAGCAGCTAGGAATCCTTCGGTTCCACCCACTTGTGCTCTACAAAATGAGCATAGTGAGAATTCCCTCGGTTCTAGAAAAAAAATCAAAATCATAATTTGGTCGAAAAAAATCGGTCTTCCAAAACCCGATTTTTTCGATTTTGTTTTAGTTTTGGACATGAAGGCACCTTTCGTCAAAACATCAAATGCATGATTTTGTTCAGCTTTCAATTCTCTATTAAATGAGACCCTCCCCGAAGTGATCGTTTGATAATGCAGGAAAAAAGTAGAAATTTGTGAATGCAGCACGAAATCAAGCCATGTGCAAACTTTCAGTCTAAAAAAATTGGCTAAAATCGAGGAAGCATTTTTGGATGATTTCCCAAAAGTCATAACCGCAGTTTTGTGCGTAGAATTTTTTAAGACTATCAAAAACATACTTTTTTTTTCGTCATGTGATGACTATACTCGACTGAGTGGCGAACCGTCTCTTAAGGGTTCATCTTCAGGTATGTTCAGAATCCATTACTGCATATCGATCAATATCGATCAATATCAATTGTAAAAGTCTAATTAACGGCGTCCAACAACTTCCAACATATTGATATTAATCACTACTATTTCTAGTAGACATCACAGTATTTCTTATATAAATGGTGAGTTTACATCACAATATAGAAACCAAGCAATCATACGATCGATTTCGAACCTTGCTTAAGGGTTCATCTTTAGGTATGTTTACTATCTATAGTTACACGAAGTTATATTTCAATAACTTATTCATAACTTCTCTATTCTATGAAGGGTGAGGATGTATGTGTCGGTGTGGGGCGTGGGTGTTAATGAAGAAGAGACAGTCACACACACACACCCGGTTTCCGATTAATCCTACTTTTTCTAAAAAAACTGACTAAAAATCACCGGTTTTGGCGATTTATCGCGATAAGATCACAATTAATCGGGCTAACAAATCGCGATATCCCTGTCGATTTTGAGGGCATGAGTTAGATTGATATTTCTAGTTTCATCTGCTGAAGTACCATCATTATTAGTCAAAAGAAAGAGAATAGAATGAAAGGCAAAATGAGATAAAGAAGAAAAATTTAAATGAAAGAACAACATGATCTAGAATACTAACATCAATAAACTCGAAGTTGTAATATAATTCCATAATTTTATGAAGCATGTCGATATGATTGCAACTTTCGTCTATTAATGAGTTATTTATATAATATTCTTCTTAAGGGTGGATGGGTGTTATGAATAAAGGGAATATCAATACCCACACCCACACTCTTCAGCGAAGAATAGAAGAGCTGAAAAAACTTGGTCTTGCCGGAATCGTTTGAGGAGGTGAAAAGCAAAAGAAAACAGTAGTCTTATGAGACAATGAACAAAAAAGCAGCGTTTAGGTAGGTCTTTCTTCTACTTTTATTTCTACTTTCAAACAAAGAAATACTGACAGACTGTTTCTTTCACGAATAGTCACTTCCGAGTTCAATTGGCGCCGTTCCCTTTCACTGCAATCAACGCCTTGCCAAAGTTCTTTCCCTTCAACATTCCCACAAATGCTTCAGGTGCCTTCTCCAATCCGTCCGTTATATCTTCCTGATACTTCAGTTCACCGTTCTTCAACCACCTCTCCATATTTTCGTAGAATTCTTTGTTGTACTTCTGCCAGAGATTGGTAACGATGAATCCTCGCATTGTAATTGATTTTGCGACGACTAACATCAAATTCTTCACTCCATATTGATCTTCTTTCTTCGTATTGTACTGACTAATCATTCCGCACATTATGAAACGAGCGTGAGGATTGGCCGCCACCAAGCAGGCATCCAGTGTTTCACCGCCGACATTCTCGAAGTAGATATCAATTCCTTTGGGACAATACTTTGCGAGGGCATCACTCGGTTTCTCCTCCTTGTAGTTAAATGCCTCGTCGAAGTGAAGCTTCTCCTTCAGGTACTTCACTTTCTCCGCAGTGCCCGCTGAACCTACGACTGTGAGACCTTCTCTCTTCGCCAGTTGACCAACTATCTGCCCAACTGCACCCGACGCAGCTGAGATGAAGATTGTTTCACCTTTCTTTGGCTGACCAATTTCGTAGAGAGAGGCGTAAGCCGTCATTCCAGGCATGTCAAGGATACCGGTGTAGCGAGAAAGAGGAAGATTGTACTTGTTTTCGAGTACTTTGAGTCCGTTTCCTTGTCCTGGTGTGACTTTGGAATACTCACTCCAGTCCAGTAAACCGAGGACCAATTTTCCGACGGGAAAGTTGGCATTGTTTGACTTAATAACACGACCAACACCACCGCTCTGAATAGGACTTCCAATGGCGAAGGGAGGAAAGTAGGACTTGGTTTCTGGTGCACGCATGCGGCCACGCTGGTAAGGATCGATCGAGAGAAAGAGATTCTCGGTGATGAATTCATCCTTCTGAAGTTCATCGAGATCGTAGGGTCGTTTCTCGAAGGCTAGATGGACGCCAGCTTCAGGAAATTCTGTCGGATGAGCTTTGTAAATGATAGCGTTGTTTGATGACGGCATTGCGACTAGTGGAGAGAAAAAAAGAAATATGCCTGTTTTTTCTTTGCTTATAAGCGTCTTGTTATTTTCTTGTGTCACCTGCGCATGATGATGGGAAGGAGAGAGAACAGGAGAAAGTACTTTTTCTTGCGTTGTCATTTATTTATTCAGAGAGAAAGAGAAAAGAAGAAAATAGTTTTTTTGCCTTGTCGTATACAGGGTGGCGAAAAATGTTTTGCCTGGAGTGGACAGCTCCAACGAAAATGATACCAATATTGAATTTTATACCAAATGAAAGCCCGTCAAAAGCGGGATTTAGGAGTATTACTCGTCATTCATAAGAGGAGAATGGGCTATAGAATTACAAAAGTTTCAAAATTTTAGAGAGATAGTTGAACACTTCCTTGGATAGTTCAGGGTTGGAAAAAATATTTTTCCAGGGGATATAGAACAAATCCCACGAGATATAAAACTGAATTTTATACCAAATTAAAGGCCGTCAAAAACGGGATTTAGAAGTGCAACTCATCAATCGTAAGATGAGAATGGGCTATAGAATTACGACGAGTTTTAAAATTTTGAAGATATATCCAATTGGGTACGTAAGTTCTGCACGTTTTTTTTGTATACTAGAAAAATTTGAGGCTTTATATCTCCTGATTGGAAAGTGACAGAGATCTGAAATTTTTAGTGTTCTACACTAAAAATTGCAGACCTCTGTCACTTTCCAATCACGAGATATAAAGCCTCAAATTTACCTAAACACAAAAAAACGTGCAGAACTTACGTGCCGATCTAATAGTTGGACACTTACATAGATAGTCAGTCAACCACAAAAGCATAAAGTTCTCAGAAAACTTTTTCGGGTATTGGGTTTTGTAGCGCTCTTTTTGCTGATCAAAGTCAACTGTAGGATTCTGTGGAAAAGTATGGGATGGCATCAGATTCCGGCTGTGGGAATTCTATAGGATCTCTTTTGTGGAAAATTATCCTATTTTAATTTTCAATGGATCTTATAGGATCCTACGAGACTGTTTCGACCTGGGTACTGGTGAGGAATCTGAGGCTGACCACCGTTTTCGATAAAGCTTGACGAAAGAGGAATTAAGAAAGGGAGTCCGAATTCGAAGTCATTCCCTCGAATTTACAATTGGTAGAGACCGTTTTCCCACATACAGTAATAATGCTGTTATCGGATATGGTCTCTCTCCTATGTGCCGACTACCCAAGCGTGTATATCACGAAAAACCAAACCCGAGAGACAACAGAGAGACAACGAATAGAACAAGAGAGAGAACGACAAAGTTATATGGAGGACAGAGGGGAAGAGCCCAGGTCGAAGAATACCATGGTTGAATACTACAGCATTCCATGGTACCCGAGATAAAATCTTACAAGCTTCTATAGAAAAATCATGATTTTCCAGAAATTCCGACAAAAACTCCGACAATTGTCTATTGGAATGTTGTGTTTCGGATGCACATAGGAATTTGTAGGATCGGATCCCATAGGTTTTCACTTCGCATCCTGTAGGTTCTCATAGCAGGAAAATGTCGGATTTTGTTGTGTCCGGTGGGATCTCAGACTAATTTATCTAACGTCCGACAATATTTTAACTAGCTTACTCTAAACGATTGTTATTTCTTCCTCATCTGATTCAGTGGCGGCGGAGCCACTGAGACCCGTGAGGCTCGAGCCTCACTTAGATTCGCTCAATTGAGGCTCAGCCTCACCTAGATTCGACTTTACACTCTGTTTAAACATGTGATTTTCAGGCCCTTTTA